ATTACAATTTATTGTCACATGAAGTGACAATTAAAAAGTATGGAGCCAAAATAATATAGAAACAAAAAGTATTATAGAAATGTGTCAGGGAAATAAGTAACAAAATATTACGTAATTTTCCAGATTTTATGATGTTTGTGGTATTTGGTTTTTAAAATTTGTAGTTTGTTATGATTTGATTTCTCATTCTAAAAGATTATTTTTATCCAATTTTTTATTCATAATTTTTAGTTATTATAAAAAGCCCCCATTTTATAAGTTTCAGGGCCTACAAAACATAAATCCTTCTCTGTACATAATCATAATGCTTTGAAATTCAACCACAGTAGGGCAGGAAGTAGGTGAAGAAGGTTCACAGAAACTGTGAACTTCTCCTTTGCTCTCTATTTAGCCTCTGGAGGGCATTGTTGCCTAAATTGGAAATTCTAAGAGATCAGAATAAACTCACAAAAACCTTCCTTTCCTACAGCTTAAAGAAGTGTTCTGACCACATTTTTTAGAGAGGGACACATAAAGAACCTCAGACACCAGAGGTGGGCAGTTTTGTCAAGAGAGCATCTCTTTCTAACAGTCCCTACCACGTCTCTAAGAAGTCTAAATCCCCTGTCATTCTTCCTCAGCCTCAGAGCAACCTGGGTTCAAGGCCCCCAGTCATCAGGTTTTTATTTGTTTGTGGGGAATCTCTCAGAAAGGAGCTGCCTTCTTCTTCACTGCTCAGCCATGACCTTGGTGTTCACCTTGATGCTTGGGGTGCTCCTGTTCCTGAGTGAGTACCGTTCCATTTGCTCCCTAGTCCACAAATGGAACATTGTTCTGGTTTGACTCCTAATGGAGACTTTTTGTTTTAGCTGAGTTCATTGATACAGCATTGATGTTTCAGGAGGAACCAGAGCTCAGTCAGTGATCCACATCACCTGACGTCCCTGTGGACCCTGGCGTCCATATCACCATCTCTGAAGGATCCCCTCCAGAGCTGAGGTACAAAAATTCCTCTTGTGTTCCACCTAATCTCTTCTGGTATGTGCAATATCCCAACTAAGGACTCCAGCTTCTCCTGAAGTACACATCTGGAAACTGCCTTGTTTCAGACATCAACAGTTTTGAGGCCTAATTTAGGAAGAGTGAAACCTCCTTCCACCTGAGGAAACCCTTAGCCCATTGGAGTGACTCGGCCAATTACTTCTGTGCTCTGAGTGACAGAGTGCCTGGAACAGCATGGGGAGCTAAATACATAACTCCTGACACATTGTAGCTTAAAAGACTCAGGGACTCAGCCTGAATTATATTCAGGAATTTGTCATGTTCCTTGAAGGCTAACAGTACAGAGAGTACAGAATCCTGGGAAGTGTTTAGTTTCTATGGAAATCTTAGATGTTTTTCTTTCTTTTTCCATTTTCCAAAGGAAAGTACTGTTTTCTGAATTGCAGCATTTTTATTCTAGAGTCAGGATTCTGAAGGGAATGAAACTATAGGATTTTCAACAAGCTAGAGGAAGTTACTTGCTCCCATATCCTCTGAAATAGTGATGGGCTAAGATGGCCTGAGGTTGGGCGTGTGAGTTGGTACAAGGCAAATCAGAGAATGACTTTACAGTACTAATCTCATCTCTCAAGCAATCAGAAAATCCAGGACAATTGCTTATTTCAAAAGCATTATTTCCAGATTATTTTACTAGTATCCTGAGAGGCTTCTTTCCTCAAAGAACTTCAGCACTTTGACTAAAATATTTGACATTGGCGGACTTAAAGCTAGCATTTAAGGATGTGTACAAGGTGATCTTTCCAAAGATAATATAGTATGAAGGAAAGAACACTTTCTTTATCCAGCGGCCCGCAGTACCAGGCATTCTAAATTAAACACAGTCCTGCTAAAGTTCCATGTGGAATCTCGGGGTTGGTTGTTCTATGAGTGACCCACTCTTTCCTCATCAGACCCACCCATGTTCCCTTTTTCCCTTTTTTCCCCCTTCTAAGTCAATTGCTGTAATACCTGCTGAGTGGCCGATAATAGTTATCGAATCCTTAATCATCTTTACTTACTTTTCTACACTGTTTCTCACAGAGCCATTAGTAAACATTTGCAACATCCTTGAACAGTTCATCTGATCTTCAGTGTCTGCAGATCACTTCACTCTCTACTTCAGTGAAAATACAGAGGTCCTCATTTTCCATCCCTTTACCTCCAAATCCATTTACAATGGATTATTATTATTAATATGAGACAAGATTAGTATGAGACAAGAGCACAAACTAAAATTTTCATATGTTTTCAAAAACAGTTATTTTTCTTTTAAAATAATCCGCTAAAGCTAAAAAGCAAAATACAAATAATAACTAATAATCAACAGTTTTAATAAGATGTATTTAAAACTGAAATTTTGTTTAAAATTTATTTTAAAACAATTATAAATATTTTTTATAAAAATAAAACTGTTCACAGTTCTAGTTTCAACATCCATCTAGTTGCTAAAGTAAATAATCAATATCACTCTGTACGCAGGTTCAGGCTAGAATAAATATATACAACTTTAAAGTAATACTGTTTAAGACAGCAAAGTGTTCCAGCCATCATAGGCAACTGTTGTGAATACTGTGCTGATTCACGAGTGCCCTTTACAAGCACAGATGAGCAAATAAAAGAGAAAGAAAATGAATCCTCAGCTCTCCCAGGAAGCAATATTTTGTTATGCTAGAATCTATGGCATCCATGCCATCTGAGAGGAAAGACTGGGCTAATTAATTTTTCTTTTCTCTTCCCTAAAATCCCCCCAAATTCCAAATCAAAGCAAGTCCTCAATGTCAGTAGCAGCACAATCCATAGATTTTTCTGATATTCAAATACAGTTTCAAGGGCAACTGATGTGAATAAGTGTTTTTCCTTGAGCCTGAAGGGTGTTAGTAGTTTTGAAAGGTTACAGATTGTGCCTGGACCCAAGTGACGCAGACAGCCCATGTTCTTTAGTACATTTATTTGTGTGTGTGTGTGTTTGTGATCCGCGGCCCTCTCCACATACTTGCTCGTCTTCTTTGTTCCTTGTATTTAAAATAAAGGGTCACCTTTCAAAGATCACTCATCTTTCCTTTTGTTACTATTCTCCCTTGTCACCTCCATAGAAGGCATACCGTATCACACCTTCCATTGAGTTGTCTCTGTAATACAGGCTTGAAATAATTGTTATTCTCTTGGTGTTCATGTAGTATTCATGGCATGCTTCTATTATGGCATCCTTTAGGCCTTTACTAGGTATACAGAGATGTTTGTCTCCTCCATTATATCACGAGCTCTCTGAAGGAAGTTACAGGGTCTAACTCATTTTTTATTGTCCCAGCTCTATAACTCGCTTAAATATATTGGCTAAACTGGATCACATTGGAGGATTCATTTTTTATCAGGTTGTAGGTAAGAATTAAATGAATTTTTTTCATATCATTACATAAAATTATATTATATGAAAGAATTTATTTTCATAAAAAGGCACTGTGGGCACTCCTGGCCCTATTTATGGTATTGTCCATCCTTGTGGGCAGTTCTGTGGCTTCAAGTCATTCCACAGGTACAGCCCTGGAAAAGCCAGCTGGGCTTAGTTATGTCTATCTGCTGAGTGAGAAGTGTTCCTCTCTTAAGGTTTTAGCCCATTAGGAGGCACTATAGGCTTTTCTTAAGCCCAGGGACTACCCTGTGGGACCTAGTTGTGAATATTTGTTGAAAGATTTGAGAAATTCTCTGAATGTGCAAATGGGGGCTAGTGAAGAGGGGAGAATAATTGTGTGTAAGGAAAAACTAATAATTATCAGCACACAAAAAAATATGCTTCTTGCTGAATATTCCTTTCAATTAAAACCTCTGCTTTATTCCCTAGATCAAGTACTAGAAGCCTATAACTGTAATGCATACATCTATATTTACATTGTTATCATTATCTTTATCTATGCCATTATCTTTATGTGTATCTATCAGAAAGGACTCCTGGATCTGAATCATATAAAGCAAAACAGAAGATGGAGAATTCCAAAGTATAGAAATCAGATATTTCTGATTTTTTGTTTTTATTGCTAAGATTTTTATATATCAGGGGAAAATGTGAAGTTCCATTTCATAGGGTCAAAAATTTTTGTAAACCATTGAATTCCACTTTTTCTTTAATATTCTTCCTGTCTCTTTCCTGAAACTAGAAAATCAAAAAGAGGAAAGAGAGAGAAGTTAAGGGAAAAAAGGGGAATTTGGAAGTAGCAATGTAATGATTGGGGAAAGTGGGAGGAAAAGAGGAAGACAAAGGTATTAGAAAGAAAAAAGATGAACTGAACTGCAAGCATGAACCACAGGAAGTTTTTACAGACAAGAATTAGAAAACAAAATATGTTACACAGCAGCAAGGATAATATGCAAAAGTAATGTCCTAATTGATTCTATTTTTTTTTCACAGTTTAGAGTCTTATTACATTCATTTCTTATAACAATATTTACCACAAGTCTTGGTTGTTCCAGGACAGTCTCAATCCATACATTTCATATATCCCAATAATAGGAATTCATTAAGTATACAATACACAACGTTTAGGTTCTTATTACTTTGTATGACTGGGGGAATGACTCTCATATAATTAATTCATAGGTTAGTAAAAATCTTTTTGTCAGAACACGTGCTTGTTTTCTGGATTTAAAAACGTGAATATTCTTTCTATGATCCCCCCTAGGCTGTAATTAGCATAGACAAGGCACCTGTCCCTCCTGAGGAGGCCTCTCCCTTTCCTTCTCACACTTTTTACTACAACCAGGATTATCAGAAAATCCCCTAGAGTACTAGAATAATGACCTTTCTTTTCCCTTCTCACTCCAGCACCCTCCAGCCCATGATCAGTCAGGGTGAGGCTGGAGGGTGGGGCTTCCTGTCACAGAGTGTCTGGGCCTGAGCATGGTTTGTGGGTGAGGCTGATTGGTTGCAGAAGCAGGAACAGTTCCAGAACCAAGTCATGACACTCACTGCCCAAGGGTTTAGTTAAATATATGTTGTGAAAATGTCCCGAGCAACAAGGCAAAGCATCATGAAGAGGCTGTTGGGCACTGTGCTGGGGCTTTTGTGCACCCAGGTTTGCTGTGAGTCGGGGCTGTCCCAGATGGGAATCTGAAGGGATTTAGCACCTGCAGTATTGTTGAGGGAGGGAGGGAGGGAAAGGAGCTCACAAGTCTTACAGACTTTCTATCCTTCTCATAATCTAAGGGGGTATTTTTCAGGTTTTGTAGGTGTTACAGTGACCATCACCTGTGACTGTTTCTCCGTTTCTCATCAGATGTGAGAGGAGAGCAGGTGGAGCAGAGTCCCCCAACCCTGAGTCTCCAAGAGGGAGCCAGTTCCACACTGCGGTGCAATTTTTCCACCTCTGGGAGCAACTTGCAGTGGTTTCGCCAAAATCCTGGGGGCCACCTCATCAGCCTGTTTCACATTCCTTCAGGGACAAAGCAGAATGGAAGATTAAAGGCTGTGACAGTCGCTAAAGAACGCCACAGCTCACTGTATATTTCCTCTTCCCAGACCACAGACTCAGCCATTTATTTCTGTGCTGTGGAGCCACAGTGCTCCCCAGGCACCTGCAACCTGTACACAAACCCTCAGCTGGGCTCAGCTCCTCCTCCAACCACAATCACATCACAAGACCAACACACAGCGTTTCTGCAGCTTAATATTCCTAACCCACATTGGTGGAGTATTAACCACAGATACTTCTTGGCCCTACAGGTTTGGGATTTGGTTTTTATCTTTCCTTCTCAATCTACACCTCTTTCTGTACTATAAACCTTTAGCTTGGAACTAGCAGAGTAGTTGACAAGAGGACAGAACTAAAATAAATATTTAAGCAACAGTATGCTGGACTCTAAAAGGGTAAAAAGTGAAAAGAATTAAAAGAAAAGGAAAATTACTCTGTTAAAGATGTTATTAGACAATGATCTAGCTTAGCTAGGTGTGTCAAGAATGTTCAGGTCAGCCTCACCACAACATGTCCCAAAGCAGTTGCAGACACTTGCATCCCATCCTACTAGTGCAGCAAAGCAAACAAACAAAATTGCTGCAAGTTCATATATTGTGGGAAAAACATTAAAACGTATATTCCATTCAACTAAATCCCATTCATGTTCTTGAGGCTTACTTTATGTACTAGGATAAGGTCTATCCTGGGGAATGTTCCCTGCATGTTTGAGCAAAATGTGTGTTATGTTTTTGTTGGGTAGACTTCTGTTATGTCTACCTGGTTTATAGTGTTGTTCAAGTGTTCTATTTCCTTGTTGATATTCAGCCTAGTTGTTCTATTATTATAAGTGAGATATTGAAGTCTCCAGCTATTATTATTGAATTGTCTATTTCTATTCATTTTTGCTTTATGTATTTTGGTGTGTTTTTAGGTACATATATGTTTATAACTGTCATATCTTCCTGATGAATTTGCCCCTTTACCTTTACAAAATATCCCTCTTATATCTAGTTTCATTTTTTGGTTCAAATTTTATCTTGTTTAATAATAGTATAGCAATTCCACCTTTCTTATGTTTGCTGCTTGCATAATATATTTTTTCCATCCTTTTACTTTTAACCTATTTTTATCTTTGAATTGAAAGTGTGTCTCTTATAGACAGCATATAGTTCTATATCATTTTTTTTTACCAGTTTCATAGTCTCTGCTTTTTTGATTGGATTGTTTAATCCATTCACATTTAATGTTATTATTGATATAGTTGAATTTATGTCTGTCATTCTGGTTGTATTTTCTTTATGTCCCATGTCTTTTTTGTTTCTCTATTCTCTCTTTACTGCTTTCTTTAGCATTAAGTGAATATTTTCTAGTGTAATATTTTAATACCTTTAATTATTTTTTACTATATTTTTGAGTAATTTTCTTAGTGGTTACTTTAGAGCTTATGATATGCATCTTAAGTTATTAGCATCTACTTTAGAAGTATGCTAACTTAATTGCTGAGAGATATCCAAATGTTACTACTGTATAGTTCTATTTCCTCTTCCCCATTTTTTGTGCTATAATTTTTATTCATATTCCTTCTATATATGTTACAAACCACCAATATATTGTTATAATTATTACTTTATATCTTTATAATTTCATGTCTTTTAAGAAGCTGAGAGAAAAAAGTAAAACAAGTACGTATCTATGTGATTTATTGTATTAACTTTCTTATTTACTATTTCTGGTTCTCTTCATTAATTCTGGTGGATTAAAGCTACTTTCTGGTGTCATTTCTCTGCTCTTATACAGTTTTGCAAGCACCTTCCTCCTTTGTGCTCTTATTGTCAAATATTTTACATTTTTATTTGTAATAGGCCCAATAATACAATTATTTATGAATTGTTTTATATAATTGCTCTTTAAATTGGTTAAGAGAAGAAAGTAGAATAAACATGCAATTACATTGTCTTTTATAATTATCTAAATAATTACCCCGAATGGTGTACTTTTGTGTGTGTGTGTGTGGATGAAAATTACTGTCGGGTCATTGTTTTCAGCTATAAAAACTTCCTTTATTATTTCTTGTAAGGCAGATCTTAGAACAATGAATTCTCTCAGTTTGTATTTATCTTTGAATGTCTTTTATTACCTTACTTTTTGAAAGATACTTTTGCCAAATATAGGATTTTTCATTGACGATATTTTTCTCTTTCTATATTTTACTTTGAATATATCTTTCCACGGCCTTCTGGCCCAGTGTTTTGGTTAAGAAGTCAGCTGTTAATTTCATTAGAGTTACTTTGTATATAAAGACCTGTTTTTCTCTTTTTGCTTTCAAGATTTTCTTTTTATCTTTCAACATCTTTACTTTGCTGTGTCTGGGTGTGGATTTCTTTGAATTTATCCTTCTTGGATTCATTGAGCTTCTTAAATGAGTAGATTGTTTTTTGTCAAATCAGTTCTCATCCATTATTTCTTCAAACATTTTTTCTGCTTCTTTATCTCTCTTCTTCCCTCTGGTTCTCTCATTATGCATATGTAGGTGTTCTTAATAGTGCCCCATATTTCTCTGAGTCTGTTCATTTTTCTTCATTCATTTTTCACTGTTTTTCAGATTGTATTCTCTCTGTAGATCTAGCTTCAAGTTCACTGATCCCTTCTTCTGGGAGCTCAAATCTACTGTTGAGCCCCATTAGTGAATTTTTTATTTTGATTATTGTACTTTCCAACTCCAGAATTTCCATTTTGCTCCTTTTAAAAAACAATTTCTACCTCTTTATAGATATTCTCTATTTTATGAGATGCCACCGTCATACTTTCTTTTACCTCCTTTAACAACACTTCCCTTAGTTTTTTGAACATATTTAGATTAGCTATTTTGAAATCTTTATCTGCTAAGTCCAACATTTGAACCTTTCCAAAAGCAGTTTCTATTGCCCATTTTTTTTCCTGTATAAAGGTCATACTTTCCTGTTTCTTTCCATGTCTCATAATTTTTTCTTGAAAACTGGACGTTTCAGATAATATATTTTACATAGTTTCTTATGGTTGCTGTTATGGGTAGAGTTGTTCTCCCTTCAACAAATTTATATGTTGAAGTTCTAACCCCTAGTACCTCAGAATGTGACCTTATTTGGAAATAGGATCATTGCAAATGTAATTAGTTAAATTAAGACAAGGTCATTAGGATGGGCCCTAATCCAATATGACTGATGTCCTTATAAAAAGAGAAAATTTGGACATAGAGACAGGCACACAGAGAGAACAAAACATAAAGATGAAGACAGAGATTGGAGTTATGTTTCTAAAAGCCAAGGAACACAAAAGATTGCCACCAAATTATCAGAAGTTGGGCAAGAGGAATGGAACAGATTCTCTCTCAGCCCTCAGAAGGAACAAACCCTGCTGACACCTTGATCTAAAACAAAACAAATTTGTTCTCTTATGGTTCTGCAAGAAGTCTGAAATCAGTTTCATTGGCTATAGTTGATACTGAACCTCTTAATCTCGATTTAGTGTGCCCAATACACAGCAAGCCAAACACTAAGATATAGGTGCTTGGAGATGGGGAAAGATTTATTTGAATTGACCAAAACAAGTAGGCAGGAACCTAGGTTCACAGAAATCCACCTCCCCAAGAACAGAAAGCAGGGGGTTTTTATAAAGCTAAGGGGATTGGCAGGAGGAGCTTTGGAGAAACAAAGGGGTCACTACCAATAAGCCCCTGGGCAATCTGACTTCTAGGCTTCAATGTCTGCTGAGGGCTGGCCATTTGGTGATTGCAAACTCCTTGAAGGCTTTCTCTTTCTTCTGCAAAACAAGCTCACAAATCCTCTAGAAAACAAGCTCACAAATCCCGGAGACCCCTGGGTCACCCCGCAAGTTAAACAGGAAAAACAACAAATTGGTTTAGTACCTACAGTACCTCTCAGGTACCCAGCTTCATAGTCAAGGTCTTTGCAGGATTGATTCCTTCTAGAAGCTCTAGGGAAGGATCCATTTCTTTACCTTTTCTAGCTTCTGAAGGCCACCTGGATTCCTTGGCCCACAATTCCTTCTTGAATAGCTCCAACTTCTTGCTTTCATCACCACATCTCTTTCCTTTTCTGGAGTCAAATATCTTTCTGCTTCTGTTGTATAAGGATATTTGTGATTATATTTTGGACCTAACCAGATAACCCAAGATAATTCATATTAATATCCTTTAATTACTCACATATCCAAAGTAATTCTTGCCATGTAAAGTTACATTTTCAGATTCCAGGCATTATGACCTGGATATCTTTGGGGGCCATTATTTAGGTTACCACATATATTATAGAAACTCTGGACATCCATTCCACACCCCCTCTAGGGCTTGTTTTTGTTGTTTGCTTGTTTATTTGTTTAGTGATTTAACTATTTCAGTTAAGTCATTTTTACCCACGGTGTGCAGCCTATAATGCTGTTATTCCAAGGACACAGTGTTGGATACGTGCCCAGACATCGTAGTGTGATAGTGGCTTTAGCAAAGCTCTCTTTGACAATCTTTTTCCCTGATCTCTGTGTTAAACTATATGCCTCTGTATCACACCTAGCCAATAGCCTCCATTCAGTGCTAGCTGATTGTTCTACTGTTTTCAACAATGTCCTGGGGAAGATAAACTGTTCCAAGATCTGACCCAATTAAATCCAAGCTCCTTTGCACAGGTAGTCTTTGAGGCTCATCTTTGAGGCTTTTTCAGACCCCTAGAAGACTCTTCCTAGCTGTCTCTTTTCCTGTTCTCGCTGTTAAATTTCTAACTAGTTGTCTTGTGATTTAGCATTTGGCTCTCATTGAGCTACTGGCCTTGTCTTAATTGCTTATCACCAAAATCTCCTTTGTCTTCAGCAGCAACCTTAAACTTGAACCTCCCGATGCTCTGTATCAAATAAATTCTTCCCTAGGGGAGAGCTCTCTGTTTTTACAGCTGCTTCTCTCCCTTGGCATAACCTCTGTGCCACTGTTCTGGAGCTGTGAGAAGGGAGAGTGGCCTGCTTATCTCATAGTGACATCTCAGCTTTATGAGCAGTGTACTGGGTGGGGGACAATACTCTCCGGTCTTCTTGGCTTGCCTTTCCCAGTATGGAACCACTACT